TGGTGCAACTTCTCAGAAAAGCAGAAACACACATGTTTGCACACACAGAAGCTGAGGTCTTTTTAAGATTGTTGCATTTGGGACTAAGTCAAGGCCTTCTGAGTACTTCCGGAAATGCTTCTTCAGTCAGGCAGGGCTGGCAGGACCACATCAGGAGAGGTCGCCTCAGCTCTGTTCACCCTCTGCGTCCCACGTGAAATGTTCTCTCTCTCTTTCTACTCAGTTAATAATAGTAATCATGCCCTGGCCAGTTTGGCTCAGCGGTTGGAGCATCGGCCTGCGGTCCAGAGAGACCAGGGTTCGGTTCCCGTTAAGGGCATGTACTTCAGTTGCAGTTTGTCCCCGGCCCTGGTTGGGTTGTGCAGGAGGCAGCCACTCGATGTGTCCCTTTCATGTTGATGTTTCTCTCTCTCTCTCTCTCTCCCTTCCTCCCACTCTATCTGAACAGTAAATGAAAAAAAAATGTCCTCGGGTGAGGATAAAAAAAAAATAGTAATAGTGAGTTCTTCAAAGACCTGATATAATCTCGGTTTAAGTCCTCCATCTTTTTTCAAGCCCAAACTAATTTTGTCATGTGAATGATACTAAACGGATAGCAAACAGTGTAGAGATAACACAGTGTATAATAATAATAAAGATAACACATTTAATAATAATCTAATAAATTTTTATTCAATATTTTTGTTTCATAAAGAAACATATCAGGTCTTTGAGTGATAAAGACCAGGTTTAATATAGCCTATAGTGTGTGTGCGTGTCTGTGTGTGTGTGTGTGCGTGTGTGTGTGCATGTGTGTTTGTGTGTGTGTGTTTGTCCCCCCAAAAGCATTATAGAGCTGGATACAAGCTGCTTGGAAACTATTTGTTGATTGATTCAGTGATTAAATTCTGAATTTTTGTCAATACCATGCTCACTTGTTTAATTTCCACTTCTCCCGTTACTTTCATGAGCGTGTGGGTCCCAGTCCTCCACCGCCTTCAAAAATCACCCTCCAGGGAGTCCCTGGTTTACTAAACAGCGGTGACTTTAATAAAGCACCACAGCAACCGGTGGCAACGTTAATTAGAATCGAGATCTGACACGTCCATTTGTTTTACTTCAGCAGTCTCTCCATTCCTCAACAGAGCTGTTAAGAACAACTTTTTCAAGCGGCTAAACCACTTTTGGTAAAGCAATAGTCTGTGACTGAGAGCAGTGACTGTGTGTGTGTGTGTGTGTGTGTGTGTGTGTGTGTGTGTGTGAGAAAGAGAGAGAGAGAGATGAAATGCGAACTCCAGGGGCCAAGCTGACGGAGGGGGGTTTGTAGGTAGAACAGGTGGGATCTCCTTGCCCTCCGGTGTCAAGTGTGGGGTTGAGTAGCTCTGTTGCTTTGGGAGGAAGGTCGTCCATTACAGCTCTAGTATGTTCTGGGGATTAGTAATTTGGTGGCCCAGTGGCAAGGAGACAATAATGAATAGAAAATGTGAAGAGAGGAAAGAGAAAGAGTAAACACTGACTCATTCTGTTCTGTTTCAAAAGAACAAGTCCAAACTCACTCTTCATGTAGTTACACTCGTCTGTTCTGGACGAAGACTCTTCTGGTAGGGCATCGTTTGCTTAAAATATTAAAAGTGAGTGAACTTAAGACACTGTATTTTATACATTTTTTTCTAAAGGAACTATGGCATTTTTTAGAATAGTATTGGCCCATATTAGGTTCTTTCTTCTCAGAGAAATGAAAACTACCAACATAAACATTTTTCATGTTTTCCTTTTTTCCTCAAAACTGGTATAAAGGTAGACTCGATGGATATAAGTGTGGTGGTCTATTTGGGAGGCATTGACTTCTGAAAGTTCAAGTCTATGCTCTTTTGAGTGATCACATAACAGTTTCACTGCACACAAGAAACCCTGACTGATTTGCACTAACATCATGAATACACATTTGTCCCGGTATTTCTTTAAATGGGGACACAAAAAAATGTCTTGGTCAAAAATGTAACAGAAGTCTTTTGATCTACGGCGGAGAATGGGAGGGACTCCAGATATGTCTGTCATTTCTTGCGGTCAGCAGACAATTTGCTGCTCTACAAACAGCTGAAAGGCTCAGAGAGCAGATTTCAATGCCCTAAAGCAAAAGAGATGCTACCCGAGTTCTCAGTGGAAGGGAGTCAAAGTCGGTTGTACATTCTGTCTACACTCAATGTCTTGGACGACTCCTGTCCGTGTCACAGACATACTACCTGTTTTTATGCAACTAAGTGTTCAGTAGATGTGAACTGTGGACCATCTCATTGTTTCTTCTCCATTTATTTCACAGGTTCTTCCTCCTCTGCCCACACTTTGAAATATTTGGATCCCCCAAGGTCTAATCACAATTTCCTTCTCATCTGTTTCCTGTTCTCCTAGTTTAGAATCATTTAGTCTTGTGCTTTTAACCATTCCAAAGGTCTCCAGTCTCAATCTCTAAATCCACTAACTCTCTCCAGTGCCGGACCTGTAATCCCAATGTCTGCTCTCTTCTCAGTTAGATGTCCCAGAGCGCTTCCAGCTCAACACAGTCACACCGAAGTCCTGGCTTTCCCTCCTAAACCCTGCTCCACATCTTACAGTGACCACCCTGTCTCAGCACATGGCCTCCCGTTCACCCAAGCTTGGAGCGTGGAGTCATCGTTGGCTCTATCACCATGGAGACTAAGTTCCAGCATACCTCTCTTAAAAAAACAATTAAATGACTACAAAATATCCACCACATAATGTTCAAAACCGAAACATGATATGGCAGATCCTGTCCATTGCGTGTGCAATGTCACCTGCCTTATCTCTGCAAATCGATGGTCGATTTCAATTCTAGGCATAAAGTAGAGGCCCCTTGATTTATCGGAAAGATGGGCCTTCTATAAGCCCATGGAAATACTATTTCCTTTCACACAGTGATTGGGCCAGAGAATATGTTCCCCAGTTCTGACAGCTAAATGAAAGGGAGAGTCTACTGGGGCATGATGCCCAGAACCGTCATAGCCATAGTGATTATGGAAAAAAAAAAATCTTCAAGGATATCAGATAAGAGAGTTAGAAGGACAGAAAGTTCCCAGGTCCTCAATGACTCATTGAATAGTGGCAAAACATTGAAGCTCCCCACCTCCAGATTGGGTGCTATGGAAGTTAACAAAGGTCATTATTACTTAATCTACTGCTAATTGGTACTTTGTGGCTAAAAGCTTTTCCAACATACAAGGCCCTTCAGGATTCTTATTATCTGGTCCCAACCTACTTTGCAGTTTCTTTAAGTCAACCTTCCCCCACTCCGGACACCAAACACACCTGGTTCCATCTGCAGCCTTCTAAGTTTCCACCCAGAAGGCAGATTCTTTCTTCTGTCATCTTGTGAGAAGTTCTTAATATTTCAAGCTCTAACTCAAATGTAACATCCTTAAGCAATTATAGTTTAATCTACCAAAAGCTCTTGATTGTTCTTATCAAAATCATACCTCCCAAGAAAAATTAATTTTTCTTCTGTTTTGCATATTATTTCTGCATACCACATTATATTGCAATGATCCACCTGTCTGTCTTGCACTTGAATTTGAGCACCTAAATGTGAGATGTCTTATATTTATCATTGCTTGCTCAGATCCTAGAACAATGGTGGTTACATAATAAACACTCAGGTAACTTTTGGTTTTTATAAAATATATCTTTGGTCACAATAGCAGATACTGTGGATGTTTTTTGGTTAGCATTAGTACAAATTTAGATAATTTAAAAAAAATGCTAATAATAAACCTGAAACTAATCATAATTCCCAATTGAGTAGTGATGTCAACCTTCTTTGGCAGTGACATTTTTTTCCTACAAAATACTATTTGTTCCCTATGTTTTTTATGTTTAATGCACACATATCTTTTTCTCATACACCTATATATAACTATTTATACTATTCAAAAAATAATCAAAAATATTTTTTAAATTTCTGCTAAATTCACATAATATTCTTTCCCCCAGGTTTGAACTCATGTTGCTAAGTTGGTTATCTACCTGATAACATGATATAGCTGCATCACCAAACTTTGAGTTACATTTTAAGTCTGGGGAAGTTATTGCTCTGCTTTTCCGGAGTACTGCTCTAAAAATATCCCTTCCCAAATACAGAAATTATTCATCCTGTTTTAATTTTAACTTGTGCACGGCCATCAGAGAGACCACAGGCTAAATTAATGTAAACTGCTTTCCAAGATGAGTATCATAGTTGAAAAGAACATTAAAGACTGGTCTTCTCTTCAGAGCCCTAACACTCTTAAGGAACAGAAACCTGAAAAGTACTGGCCTCTGCCTGGTTATTTGTTGTTTATTTTGATTGACAGCTCTGTGTAAGTCCATCATGTAGATGAATCAGTCCAAAGGAAATAAACATTTTTAAAAATATTCTTTTTAAAAACTGAAGCTTAACAGCATTTATCTATTAATAATGCAAATTGTGTTGCAGATTTTAATTCCACTTAGATTTGGAAAAGTAGTCTCATGCCCAATGCCCAGTTGAAATTCTTCAGCTCATCACTTCACATGCCTCACAATATCTACACCCTCTACGGCCTTCAGATCATCTTTCTTACATTTTTATCCTCAACTTTACTTTCTGTTCATTTTTTTTCCAGTTGCCTAAAATCGTGTTTAAAGCAAAAGAGGCATAAACTTTAAATCACTTCAACTTTACCAATGAAAACTGCTTTCTATGAGGACTCTAGGTGTTTTAGATAAAATTTAGTACTAAGTGCTTCAAGTTGTCAAGGCTGCTGTATTACACAGCTCCAAGGAGCATCAACCACTACTGTACTGCCTCTGTGAACAACGATCCCTGGAGTGGTCCAACCTATGTTCTCTTTCGTTGTGTGACGGGCTATGTATGTTGTCAATATGAATGGAAAGGGATATTTGTGCTATGGTTCTCCAAGTGATAATTGCATAAGGGCAGTTTCTAGAAACATGAGGCATTACTGTCAGGGAGATCATTATTTTCTTACCTGAGCTGTGGTTTCCTGCTAACAAGGTAGGGCTCACAGAGCATCTTCCCAGTCTACTGGTGACCACAGGTGGCCCTGGTGTTCCATCCCATTCCTGAGCTTTGACAGGCTCTCTGCAAGACGCCCCGTGGTGTCCCTTCTCTTTGCTGTCCAGCTTTGGCAATGGCTCTGTGCTGTGGCTTCGCACTTTCAGCTCCTCCGTTGATTCTGTGTGTTAACCAGAATTACATGCTGTTAAAAAAGAGTCAAACCCTTTCCAAATTGCTTTAAATAAATTGAAGAACAATTTTCTAAATGCTTTCAATATGTTTTTAGAACCTTATATGTGTAATAGAGATTACAACGTTTAAACATCACAGGGACGGGGATCACGCAGGGTCTTCTCATCAGAGGAGTGCAGGTTAGTGTCACTGGGGAAGAGCTTTCTCTTGAGAAGAGGAGGAGCTCAGCGATTGAGGCTCCTTCAGTAATTCCTCCCTGTGCTCATTTTCAAGGAAACTTCTTAGCATGCGCTTTACATTCACTGTCTCAATTGTCTCACCTTTTCCCACTACCCACCGTGACACAACTCAGTCCAGCCACTCTACCGAACCTGTGTTGGCTAATATCGCCTTGGTTGGAGTGGGCATATGTAGAAGACATTTCTAAGACACCCGACAACTCCTTGATATTCTTTTATTGACATCTTCAATTCTCTAAGCGTCCCTGATGGTCCTTCTTCCCGTGTTCTGTTCATGTCTCACAGCGTGTCTGTGTCGTTCATGACTTCTCTTCCCCCATGCATCCCTCCCATGACGGTTGTCCCCATGACACTACCTTAGCCATTGTTCCTCCCATTCTATCATTCTGTGACTTTATCCTCCAGGACTCAACTAGCAATTTATCTGATTGTTAGTGATTTTGAAATATTTAATTGCGAGCCAGGACCATTTTCTGGTGCTTTAGACTAAAAATGTCCTGCTGGCTGAGTCCCTGTTGAAAACAGAAATTCAACATTTCAGATGCTGAACTGATACCAATTTTTACTAAACCATTGGCTCTAGATGCCCAGCCCACCATCCAGCTAGAAGCTCGCGCTCCCTTTCTTTGGCTGCTGCTCCCAAACCCATCAGTCAGCATGTGATAGCCATTCTGTAATGCGTGTACAGAAGCATTTAAAAACACGTGGAATGAAGATGGTTTTAAGAGCGCTGCCCCCTTGCTACCATGAGAACTGTGTTATTTCAGGGAATAGCCCTTCTCTAAGGTGCAGAGAGAAGTGTTTCCAAACAGAAACAAACAAAAAATGCAAATCTACTCATGATGTACCTCTGAGTAAAATCCTTCCAGAAGTGTCCTGTTACCCACAGAATTATGTTGAAAATCCTTGTCATGACCCAAAAGATTCTACACCATCATGCTTTTCCCTCCTTCTCCAACTTGGTCACTTCTCCCAGAACAGTGTATTCAAGAAACATCACTCGGTTGGGTGTAACTTCTTCCCCTCCATCCCACCTCTAGCCACGGCAATGCTGTTTTCTCTAGTTACTGTGTCCTAGCCTCATGTCCTGTCTCTGCTCAGCTAACTTTCCACAGCCCTGGTTACTCAATTTAGGTATTCTCTGAGGTCTTCCCCACACATTTGCCACCCTATGCTGAGTATATCGTCATCTCTGCACTGAGATAGTCTTATATCATCTTTCTATGTATTTACTCTTAGCAAAAGACCCTGAGTTCTTTAAAGGCAGGGTCTAAGTGCAGTGATTTTGCTTGTTTTTTGTTTGTTTCATTTGCTGCTTCTAGCACACCTCTCCTGCTGCTCCATAGGTATTTATTTAATTTAGTAATGTAGTAAGGTTCTCAAATCTTCCAGCATCTTTCTGATGTGTGTAGGAAATGCAGCATTCTTAACGGAATGAGAGAAGCGAGTGAATGTTACAGGTATATTAAAGCAGCACAGAACTAGCTGTCATTTCAAAATCTGATCATCTAACAATCACAATGTGTAAAATTCATCAGGTTGAACATTTCATTCAAATAAGGGATCTTTGAGAAAGACTGAAGTGAAAGAAATCACAGAACTGATTCAGAGAATCTGTATTTTGTTTTCTTTGTGTGTAAGTTCAATCGCACATCAGCTTTCTGCCGTGTGACAGACGTGTCACACTCGGTTTCCCCACCATCCTCACATCAGCATAGGGTGACACCTGTGGGGCAGAGCCAGAACGGGTTGCAAAGTCCTAAGCAGCCCTGGGTAAGGCATCTGAGAGGCCCGGCTTTGCGACCTTGGCCATGCTCTTGGGTTAGTGAACCATGTCACAGAACACTTGGGTTGTCCTCTTGGATCTCATTCTTCTTAACTACAAAATGGAGATAATCCCAGCTCTAACTTTCCCATTTTTTAAAAAAATATTTTTTCCTTTATTGATTTTAGAGAGAGAGGAAGGGAGAAGAAGAGAGAGAACATTGATTGGCTGCCTCCTGCATGCCCTCCACTGGGGATCAGGCCCACAACCTGGGCACATGACCTGACCAGGAATCGAACCGGCGACCTCTTGGAGCATGGGTCGGCGCTCAACCACTGAGCCACACCAGCCGAACTAACTTCCTCGTTTGTATTAAAAGGATCTAATGATATCCTACATTTTAAGATATTTTGAAAACTATTAAGTGCCACACATGTAAAAAGTAATATTAAATTAAATATTATAGCCATTTGTCCTTTATGAATTTATTTTAATCTTTCTACATTTGGACTAGATGATCACAGAGAGACTGGATATGCCAGCCACATGCAAACAGAGATCTCTAAGTCATTATCTATAGTAACTAGCCCAGGAAGCCAACTTATTACCTACAAGTCAGACTTTTGGAAGTCAGACCATTATCTCTAGCAACCAAGCCAGGAAGCCAAACCCATGTAACAATTCACCCCAAACAGCCAGGACTTTTGGGCCAGCTTCCAACATAGGGCCAACCAGAGAAAGTTATATATGCACCCAAAATTAATTACAGAGGATACTTGCTTTTCGTCAGCCTGAGCACAGCTTCCCAGGCCAACAGCCTCCAAGCGGGGCATAGCTGAAGCTTTCTCTGTTTCCCACTATAAAGGTTTCCTGCTCTCCTCCCTGCTCTGAGTCTCTGCCAAATGTAGATGCTGGTGGCTTGGAATTGCAAGCTCTGAATAAACAGCCTTTGCCTAAGTTCATTTGTTTGGGCTTCACTTACTTTCACATTGCTATAGTCCCTTCCAGCTCCAAGATGCTATACAGTTGTGTAAACACATGTCCCGAGTGTCATCCCATGAGCTAGAACTTAAACCAGGAAAGTAACCTCACACCAACAACCTCAGAAAGGGTTCTGGTCTTTAAATGAGCCTGGATGTAAGCCTACGTCCCAGCTACAATGAAGTCAAATGCAAGCCAGAATATTTTTTAAATAATGCATTCCAGCATAAATATGTCAGCAAAACAATTTAACCAACACTTGCTTGTCGGTGCCCTAAGTCAAATGAAAAAGAACAAGTATCAGGGTAAAAAACATCTTAGATGATTTCCAAGTTAGTTATTCACAGGTTCAAAGAAAAATACACTCTGGTTTCCAAATGTCACAGCCTCAAAGCCTGATGACCCATTTCTGTCACCTCGTTGTTTCTTCTTCCAGATTTTAAACAAACCATTGGGATGCTCACTTTTTACTGACTTCTGTATTTGTCTCCACTATCAGCATTAAATATTTACTATTTCTTTTCCACACACACACACACATACACACACACAGTCTTTGATCACTGGAATTGAAACTAGCCAAACTAAAAAAGAAAATGCTCCAGGTTAACGGTGGGTCCAATATTGTTCTTGAAGATTAGGACAACGACTTAAATATGAAAGGCTGAGGATGCCTGTTCAGGCACCTCCATCAAGGTCAGTTTCTTTGTTCTCGAACTGCTCTCACACACATAGGAGGAAAGTGCACTTAGGTCTCTAACCTCAACTGAATAAAAGCCCCATACAGCTATGGAAACAAAAAGGAGTCTTTTCCCCTTTTTTTCTGCCTTTTTTTGTTTTCAAGTCCCAGAGGTTAGACTTTGGTGAATTTTGGCAGGTGCATTTAGGAAAACTGGAACAAAAGGATTGAAGAAATCAGGCTACTCAGACATATACCTTAACATCTGCCTCCTAAATTGGAGATAGAACTGAAAAGTCTGTAAGAAACTCATTACTATGTTTACTGAGCATTTTATTTGAGAATGAGTCTGTTTCCTATGCATTCAAGTACAACTTCCTACATTACACATTTTCTAATTAAAATAAATAGGAAAATCTTCAAAAGAACTTTTGAAAGAGACAAATGAAAAGTAGACAATTAGTCTGAGAAATATATATATAATAAAATGTATTGAAAGCTCAAAGACATCTGTTCAGAGAAACAAGGACATATTTATCCACGTCCGTCTATTTCAGTGTTTTCTGAAAGCCTGTTAGAAAATTTTTGTTTTGGTAACATTAACTTTCCTGAACAGTCCAGGTACTGTGGTAGACTTTTGTGTGAAATCTATGTTATTTTCACAGTTACAGCCCAGCAGGTAGCACAGGGCCAACTACACAGAATGTACTCTTCCTCTGTTCATCAATGAGCAGCTGAATGTTGACTATTCACCCCAAATCAGATTCTCACATTGAAGATAGATCTTGAATTGAAAACTTGCTGTGAAAAATATATGTATTATTACATTACATTTGTCATTAAGCTTGTGTGTTCTGCATATTATTGTCTTGAGCTTTTTATGGTGTTTAAGTTAAAGAACGACACATAATAAGAGACCAGGAGCAATCTTTCCATGACTGAAATATTCTCTCCAGGGTTCCAATCTATAGCATCTCATGCTGGTAACTCTGAAGTTTCCTCTCAATGTTTTCCCATTTTCTGCCTCTTTTTGCTTTGTCTCTGGCTCTACATTTGTCTCTCTCGATTCTAACTCATTCCTCTCACTCTCCCTTCCTGCCCCGAACCTCGGGTAACCTATAACCACTTGGCCCCCCAGGTCTGGTGGCTTTCATCATCAGATCTGACCCACACCTGAACTGAGCTTTCTCAGAATCTCTGATCCACTCTTCCTCAACAACATCCACCCTCTGAACAGTGAAACGGTAGTGAGGCATCTTACAAATCTCCACGACCGAAAAATCCCTTCCCAGCTCTAGAGACAAAGAAAATAATAGAGCACT